ATTAAAATAGGTGCCATTATCCCTCTTCTACAAATTAGGAAACTGAAGCAGACAGAGGTCAAATAACTTGCCCAAGGTCACAAAATCACTAAGTGTGAATCCAGGACTTGGATTTATAACTTGGATATGACAAACTCCAGAGCCAACTAGTAAGACTATACTTTGTTTACTCCTTGTTCTCTTCCTCCCTTGGGACATGGTAAAGGCAGGGAGAGGATTCTTTTTTTTATTATTATTATTTTGAGAGGGAGAAAGAGTGCGAGCAGGGGGAGGGGCACAGAGAGAGGGAGAGAGAAATCCCAAGCAGGCTCCACACTGTCAGCGCAGAGCCTGACATGGGGCTCAAACCCACACCCTGTGAGATCATGACTCAAGCCGAAATCGAGAGTTGGACACTCAACAAACTGAGCCACCCAGGTGCCCCCAGGGAGAAGATTATTAATAAGCCCTGTGGCTCTGGCCTAGCTCATACTGGCCGCTAGAGAATGACCTCCGTCTCTTCGGTCCACAGTTCTCCAACCAGTGTCAACTAGTCAGTAGGAGGAGAAGCAATGTGGATATACATTTGTTAACTGCATTGACCTAACCAGCCTTAGTTCAGGTTGCTATAGCAGAATGTAACAGACACCCTAGACTGGGCGGCTTAAACAAACATTCCTCACAGTTTTGGAGCCTGAGAAGTCCAAGATCAAGGAGCCAGCAAGATCCAGTGTCTGGTGAGGGCAGGCCTGCCTGCTTCCTGGTTAAAGGTGGCCATCTTTTCCTGACAAGGCAGAGGGTAGAGAGAAAGCGTCAGCTCTCACATCTCTTATGAGGGCACCAATCCCATTCACAAGGGCTCCAACCCTAGGACCTAATCACTTCCCAAAGGTTCCATCTCCTAATACCATCCCATTAGGGATTAGTTTCAACATATGAGTCTTAGGGGACACAAGTTTTTAGTCCTCAGCACAGGCTTGTTTTAAAAAGCAATTGATTTTACACAAAAACAAAATTTCTTTTGTTCCTTCCCTTTTGATTTCACCTAGGTTTCAGTAATGTACCATCCTGAGAGTATCCTGACCACCTCTTGTGTGTCATAAGGCCCACTTACTTCCATACCTCAATGGGTATTTCCATCTCTTATTAACCATATCCTTACTACATTGGGAATGGAGTGGTCTCCTAGACGATCACTTCTCAAACTTAAATGAATGTATAAATCACCTGAGGATCTTACTAAAATGTAGATGCTCATTCAGTGGGTTTGTGGTGAAGCCTAAAGAAACTCCCAAGTGACACCATGCTGCTGATCTCCAAACTGCACTTTTGAGTAGTGATGCCCTAGATATTTAAGCACATGATCCTGTTAGTGCTAGCTGATTTTCCTCCCAAATGTGTAATCACATTTGGTGATCAAAATTATGCTGAGTATGCACTTGCATATTATATATGTAACCTACTATAGATACCAGTGGCTAAACGTCACCAGGTTTTCAAGTGTTTTGAATTTTTTATTCAAGTTTCATTTTCCTCATTTAGGTCTAATTGTGAAGTAGCAGTAAAACTGTTTAAATTTTGCTTTGATAGGCCCTGGGCAATTTTTCATTACATTCCACCACACTGTCTTCTTTATGGACTCAGGGAAAGATGTTCTCTTCCTGTCCAAGAAAATCCATCTGCGTCCTGACTTCCACCTCTTTCCACAAGAAACTCAGTTATCTGTTTTCTCTTGTTCATCAGCCCCCTTCTGTCTTATAGTTCCAAATTTTTCTATAGTAACACTGACAGAAAACTTTCCTAAAAATACACTATTTAAAAAAATAGAGTAATTTCGCAAAATTTTAATTGCTAGATTTCGGTGGAGGATACACTGACAGGTGTTCATTGTACCACTCTTCCAACTTTTCTCAATATTTGAAATTTTAAAGTTTAGAGCACAGTTAGACACAGAAACAATGAACAATTTTTCCTATTTGTGAGTTTCTGGCCCAGGACAAACGTATTCCAGGGTAAGACTTCAGACTATAGATCTCCTTCAGTTTCTCATTCACTAACTTATTACAAATTTCCTTCCAAAAAAAAATGTATTAGGCCATTAAAAAAAAAAAAAAAGCTTATGTCCAACATGATACATGAGCATATTCTTTCATAGTCTCTTTAGATTATAAAATAAACTATTAAGAATTTTTAAGTTTTCCTAGAATGAACACTAGAAATGTCGCTGACCTACACTCCCTATAGTTTACTTACTCCCTCCTGCCTATAAACCTTGACTGCCTTGCAAATCTAAATTCTCTATCATATCACCTTAAAATCTATGGCTTCATATCCATATCTTTTAAAAAGGGGAAAGGCTCCATTCTCTGCCTGGCCTCTTTCTCCCAACAGGTGACAAGCTGGGCCTTGAACAACTGCATTCCAAGTAGAACACTGAGCCACTGGCACTCTTGCCCCTGCACTCCACACTTGGCTCCACCTGGACCACAAGCTGCTCTGAGGACCTGAGGTCAGTTGGCATCTTACATGCTTTCATCTTGCTTTCCCCAACACTGGTGTGGCACTTAACCCAAGGTAGGTGTTTAAGTATTTGTGAAATAGTATTTCTAGTCACTTCCTAGGCAAATGTTGCCCAAAATGAAAATGCTTTATACATCATGCTTTAATTTTATCACACGAATCCTGTTCAAACAAGTCTGAATGGTTCTCAACCTAGGGAAATCTTGCCCTGCAAGGGACACAAGGCATGACCTGGAGGCATTTTTAGTTGTCACAACTGGGGTGGGTGCTACTGGCATCTGTCAGGACAGGATTCCTACAATGAAAAGGTTATCTGACCGAAAATGTCAGTATGCCAAAACTGAAAAATTGTAATAGCTGTAGTTTCTATTTCCTTTAACCTAAGGGATTTAAGAAGCACTAGAAACCAAAGAGTCAAGCAATTAAACCCATAGATAGGGCGGCACTATTGTTTTCAGTTTCTTAATTTAAAGAAAAAGTTCTTGATTTTTCATTATGAAGTTCCCTTTTCTGGAAAACCACCCAAAGAGCAATATTATTTAAATGGCACAACCACAACACTGTAGTGCAACAACGATAGTCAACTAAGATTAAAAACTGGTCTAAGACTTTAGATATAATAAGTTTTATTCATCTGGTGGTACTTGATGCTCACAGGGCACCGTACAACAAATTTTAAAAATACAATATGAAAAAATTGAACAGCCAAAGAGATCAATTCCATTAGAGGGCCCACAGAAAAACCAACAAAAGCCCACAGAAAAACCCACCCACTGTCATCCCTTAAGAACATTTTCTTCCTGCTTAAGTTTGGCTTTAAGAAACACCAAAAGAGAGAAAGTCTTTGAACAAGTTAAAACTTCACATAGCGTCTTTCACATGAGGGTATCACAAAATGCTTTCCTTATTCAATAAGCATATAAAATTATCCAAACACCTATGAGCCTCTATTTGGTCCCATCCTTTAAGGTCATAGCTGTATTTCCCTCACCTGCCTTCAAATGATTTGCATCAGTAAAAGTCATATAAAGTGGTCTCTTTTGCTCCATTTTGCCACTACAAAGCAGATATGTTTTCCATAAACAGGAAGGGCCCAAGAAAATTGAAGTTACCCAACTTCTTGAGGTGAAAATACAACTAAATTTTTCCAAGACCAGTTTAAAACCAAATTCTGGCTTCGAAACCATTTTCTGCAATTTTCATGATTAGAAATTACTGAAGGTCATTTGACATAAACTACAAGGAATAGTAAGATGTAAAGTTATAATGGGGGCTACTGTTACAAAAACTTCAAAGAATAAAGATCTGGAAAATTGTGTTCTAGGACACGCTGACATGTTGTCATAATGTTACACAAGGAACAATAAGGAGTTACAACTTCTGCCTGAAGAGTCCTTTACTGCTCAGTATTCATTTTGTAAAAGTCAACCAATTACAAACTGTCATGTAAGCCTCCAACACAGGAAGCACTAAGTGTTAACGGTTGGAGGCACAAACTCCTTAGTCACAGTGTAACAGTTTTTACTTAAAGTAGCAGAGCCATCCCATGCATACTCTGCTGTAGAATCTCATTTCCCATTCGAGTTCACCAATGCACTAAAATAAGGAGGCAAAACTGCTATGGGTAGTCAAAGTACTAAAATGAAGAAATTTTTGGTCGGATTTCTGGGAAAAGCTGAAAATATATTTAAAGTAGTTGCCAAAATATGGTAAGCACTACCTTAATGCTTAGTTCCTCTAAAATTAAATGGTGTTCCAACTTATGCTTAACATCTATAGATCTAAGCAAACCTAGACATTTTAGCTGCTGCAATTGTGTAATAACACAGTACGTAATACGCAACTAGATGTGTCTCCCCTTTTCCATTATACTGCATTTCTTAAGGGCAAGGGGCAGGTCAAAAGCACCTTTGCATCCCCTACACTAAGCACAGTGGCTGGTATACAGTTTAAGTGTTCAACAAGTATTTACTGAATACATTGTTGAGTACTGGCTTATGACATGGGAAAGAGCCCAAAGATTGTCTTATTCTATTAGCAATACTTAAGTAGAAAGCAATTTCAAAGTAGATACCTTACCCACTTTCTAAACACAGACTCAAGAGTTAGATATGACTTAAATCATTTCTCCTAAACATGTTCATAAAGCATTTTGAGAAATCAAGAGATGAAAGGCGCTATGTAAGTGCAAAATATTATTACTCAATACAGGTTAGCAAAGATGCTATATTCTCTATGGTGATAGAACAGTTGTGCTAGTTTGAGGTGAACACCCCCAAAGCTACTACTCTTCTTGATGTCATTATCAACAGAACAATGGAATTGGACAAAGATGCCATCACTTTATATAGTTTATATTCTGCTAACTACTTTCTATAAACCAGGTAACAGAAAATAAAATTAAGCCACTTACTCTACACAAACCAATACTTTATCAAAGTTCCGCATTTTACAAGTCATGTTCAAAAAACACACACAAGTTAGCATTTTGTACACAAATGTTTATTTCTCAATTAAACATTCCCTTTAAACACAAGGAATGAATTCTAAATTTTCATAAAGATGAATTAAAAATGAAATCCCTCCAGTATAGTGTGTGTAATCGCTGTGTTCTTGGTCACTACTGGCATTTACTGTTTAACATCAAAAACAAAGACAGGTTATTTAAAAATCATGCTACTGGATTTCTAGCTCTTCCTCTATGACCAGTTCTACACTGATCTGCAATGTTTAAAAGTTTACATCACCAAATCGAAGCAATAAGAGGTGAAACAGCTGTGCATTAAACACAAAATAAACAATAAAGTTATAAGATATAGTCAAGTTCATAACGAATATAGGTGTTCTTATCATCATTGTAGATTCTTGGGTAATGTGCTATGAGAGCATCCTGTGAACCAATGTAGATGGAGTTGTAAATTTTCCAATACACGTCTCTGACTTTCCGGGCCGGGTGAAACAAACCCTAGAGTAATTAGAAAGTTATATTATTTCAATTTTCAGTAACATATATAACCTTAGCACAACTAACCAACAAACCATAAAGATGGGATTCCAAACATTTCTCTTTAAGAGAAAAAAACCTGACAAAGGCACAAAATTGCAACAAGCTAAGACAAAATCTAATCTCTTCTCCCCCCACAACTGTTTTCCCATATGGTACAAACTAGCCTACTCATAATTAAGAACAGTGACTTAATTCAACTAAATTATTTTTTTTTTCATGGAGTAACCTTTTAAAAATCTTAACCTTGAGGGGTGGGAGGGAGGAGAGGGTGGGTGATGGGTATTGAGGAGGGCACCTTTTGGGATGAGCACTGGGTGTTGTATGGAAACCAATTTGACAATAAATTTCATATATAAATTAAAAAAAAATAAATAAATAAAAATCTTAACCTTACCTGTAAACAATACTGTAACATTCTACATGGTCCAATAGCAACTCTCAGGCCCTCCAGGGCTCCCATAACTGCTTGAATTACATGGGGCGATGTCTCAAACACATTGGGCCATACATAGTTCAACAAGTGATTCAGTGAATCTTCACAACCAAATCCATAAACCCCAAGTGACATGTGTTGCACCACTGCACTAGCCGTCTGTCTGTGTACAAGGTCCCTGTAGCAGGTGGAAAAAGAAAAACCCTCTTGTTAAAATGGTCTTAGTTTTACAGGAAACACTTACCTGTCCTAATTAGAAACTAAATTACAAATTCGGTGCAGGGAACAAATGCAAACATCTCATACTTTATGTACCTGATATAAAATGCCTTTAGAATATACAACATTCTGTATCAGATTCAGGATTCCCCTTGAGAATTTTTACTTTAAGGATGCAAACTTCACTGTGGCTCAAAAATAAGTAATTCCCAATTAACCTTTGAAAGGAATATGAGCAAGAGAGCTCTGTGCAGTGCATTTTTAGTATGCTACTAAAGAGGGGATACATGACTCTTAGATATGAATAACAGTAATCTCATTTTAAACTCATCAATTTAATAGACTTGAAAAGTGATTCAACACTGCTATATAAGAGACAACTAAATTAAAATTAAAACCCTTCCCTTGTAAATTTTAAGTTTCATTCAAAAATGCAATTTGGGGGGGCGCCTGGGTGGCGCGGTCGGTTAAGCGTCCGACTTCAGCCAGGTCACGATCTTGCGGTCCGTGAGTTCGAGCCCCGCGTCAGGCTCTGGGCTGATGGCTCAGAGCCTGGAGCCTGTTTCCGATTCTGTGTCTCCATCTCTCTGCCCCTCCCCCGTTCATGCTCTGTCTCTCTCTGTCCCAAAAATAAATAAATGTTGAAAAAAAAATTAAAACAAAACAAAACAAAAATGCAATTTGGGGAGAAGGACCAAAAATTTTTTCAAACCAAAAGAGTAAGAATTCTATCATCTCCCATGTTAACTGAATTTATGACAAATCATGGAGTTATTTATTCTACAGTGACTCAGCTGGGAAAAACATCAGATAAGTTGGTGATGAGTATAAACAACAAGTTCATACACTTTGCCCTCAAAGGTAACAACACCTTAAAGATAGAAGAAAAAACACTGAACTTGCTAGCATCCTTATTTCTTACTTACTATAACAACACTTAATCAAGTACACTTTATAGTAAAGCAGCATTCCTCATTAATCAATTTCCCAAAGGTATTTGTTTCTTTTCATTTGGAAGTTTTTGACAAGTTACACCTCAACTTAATAGTACACAGAGAGGTGCGTGGGTAGCTCAGTCAGTTTAGTGGCCAACTTCGGATCAGGTCAGGATCTCCCAGTTCATGGGTTCGTGCCCCGTGTTGGGCTCCAGAGCCTGGAGCCTGCTTCAGCAGGCAGCCTCTCCTTGCCCCTCCCCCACTCATGCTTTGTCTCTCAAAAGTAAATAAACATTTAAAAAATTTAAGAAAAAAATAGTACATAGAATATAAATTTTAACTGCAGGTCACATACTTTGATGGCTGCACTTTGATGGTCAGGCACACCTCACTGAGGAATATGGAACAATATGCTTCTGATTTACTGGGCCCCAGGTGGCTAGACTTTTACAGAACCGGATTCTTAGTCTGTCTCTATGTCTTCCATGCATTTATACCTTGTTGGTAACTTGTTGATCCTGTTAAGCCTCCCTTTTGGAACGTCATGAATAAGTAACTTTAATGTGTACACAAAACTAATTGAATTGTTTCTAATTTGGATACCTTATCTTTCTTGAAAAATAAAGAGCTAAAACAGTCATTTCCCTTACAACTTGGGACTCTTTTATTTTGAGAAAGAGAGAGAAAGGGGAGGGGGAAGTAGAGAGAGAATCCCAAGCACGCTCTGAGCTGTCAGTACAGAGCCCAACATGGGGCTTGAACTCATGAACCGAGAGATCATGGACTGAGCCAAAGAACAAAAATCAGATGTTCAAGTGACTGAGCTACCCAAGCACCCCTTCCGTTACTACCTGGACCCTGAACCTTTCTTTACATGAATTACTTTGGTGTTTAAAGCTGTATGTCGGTCCAGATAGTTAAAGGTATCAGGAATCTATCAAATAACTCAAGCAGTCCTGTATCAGTGGTCAATGTCTGAATAACTGGGGGCCTAAAATGGGAATAATATAACTATGTTCAGTAGTTACAAAGCCTAATAATAATCTTTGCTTCGCATGCACTAATAAAAAGCTAAATAGATCAGGTCTCTTTGCCACACCAATAAGCTCATGCTCATCATTTCCTCCAACTATATTTGACTTTAATTAATTTCTTTCCTTGTCCTTTATTTTAGAGAGAGAGTACACACCGGGGGAAGAGGAGCAAGGGGAGAGAGAATCCCGAGCAGGCACCACGCTAAGCGTGGATTTGCAGTTTGATCATCACATGATCCTGGGATCATGACTTGAGCTGAAATCAAGAGTTGGATGCTCAACCAACTGAACTGCCCCTGTACCCCATGACTTCAATTAATTTTTAAAACAAAAGTTTACCAATCACTGCTTTTCAAAATGTATTTAGTCTAAAGATATGAAAGGGGGGCTTAAAAGGGGAGGGAGCACCTAAAAAAAAAAATTTGGGGATCCACTATAGCATAAATGTTATTTGGAGAGAATGGTCATGTTCACTTCCATAAAAACTCAGTCTCATAGTCCCCCTTCTTTAACTGCATCACTAACAAATAGGTCACATAATAATTATTTCAATAAGTTCTAAAATAAAGGAAGAATTATAACTATTTCTTTCTTGCATTTAATTCAGGTCACTTACCTATCCATTAAAGCATCTTCAAGTAACGGTGTTACAGCATAAATGTAGTCCTTTCCCATTTCACCAATATATTCAAACAAGAAGGAAAGTGATTTTAAGACTCCATTTTGGACATTCAGCTCAGGAACTCTGTATTCATTCATTAAGGCAGGTAGTACTGTGAAGGGTGAACACGTTTCGGCAACAATAGCTATTGCTACAGTGGTACAAACTCTGTTCTGCCTTTCCTGAACTTTGAGGTTGTTTAAGAGTGTAGCCAATACATCATGAGGACTGAAAAAAATAAATGTGTCAGCAATCTGTCAGATTGTAAGTCAAATTTTGGAAAGAAAAAAATGTAAAGGAATAAAACTTTATGGTAAATAACTATTGGCAACTTTGTAATTTTATGATTAAATACAATAATGTCACTTAGCACTGGTACTTATTTCCACTTAAAAACTTCATCAAATTAAAATATATGTTGAAGAAAAAAATTCAAATGGTTAGTAATTTTCAAATGTAATTTTTAGTCTTTAGTGAACTTCCTAAAATATAAAGAAGTTTTAGACTGAACAATTCTAGACTGGTCAAAACATGGCCATCAGAGCTAGGCAGTAGTATCCTAACTGTGGTCTCTCATGCCTCAATACATAATCTACCTTTCTTTTCTTGCCTTCCCGCCCACACACCTTTGTAACATCTATTCACTAAGCATTTATTTCACCACAGACACTGAAGCTAAAAAAGCACAAAAGCTATTCATTGCAAAAGTCTTAACTATACCACCGCTGAAATAAATTATTCTACTACTGCTACCAAAAGACAGGGAGGGGGTAAGGAGACTCTAATTAATCTGGGTTTTATTATGTTGTATTGCTTAAAAATATTTTGTTATTAAACCACATGTATGTGTGGTATCTCATTTTGTACAATGACTACTTCTTCTAGTTTGGTTCTGATGAGATGAGCAAATACCCACAAATTATCTACTAGTTATAATTTCAGTTGTCTGTGGATTCGCTTTAGAAAAATATTTTAAAAACACAAAGTATTAACATGAGACCTGAATTATGCTCATTGTTTTATTAAGAACTGCCTTAATATTTTAAACAATACCTAAAAGGGACCAGCTAAAATCTGAAATTATTCTAAAGATGGTACTGTTTTCCTTTCTGAAAATACCTGAGGTGTGATTAAAATAAATTTTAAAACTCTCCATACATTTTAATTCAATTTAAAATTTAAGAAAACATTTCAAAAACTGGAGGTCAGTGTTAAACGATATGTTTCTCACCTGCATTATTCACACCCAACACAGTGGGTTTATTACAAAATTAAAAATACATACATAAAAGTACGTAATACTCACCCAATGGCCTTTGCAATGTAACCAAATGTGTTGACTGTGGCTCTACGAATAGCTTTTTTGTGAGCTTTTAAGAGCTCCAGAAGCTCAAAACAAATCCTCATCCATTCTCTCGCAGACACATACTCAGCTCCCCTAATTTAAAAAGAAAAAAGTTAATTCTGATAATAAGAAATTTTAGAAGGTAAACTTGCAAATTCAGTTCTCAAAACATGACTATCTACTCAGTTTAAGCAGTAATCTTAAAAATTATATTGCCACCTCTAATCACCATCTCAAATTGAAATTTCACAGAACATTTCACTGGATAGTCTTACCATATATGTTTGTATTAGCAACATTAAGCATATTTGCAAAGTGAATAAAAAAGCAGCTAAACGTAAAAACCGATACTGTTCATAAAAATGTTTAGGCAATCTGCTTACCTGTCAGCAATACGTCCAACAAGATCAATACAATTCTCTTGTACTTTTTCATGCCTGTTCTTTAAGATGGGGGTGAGTCTAGGCAGGAGATCTTTAATTGGTGGGGTCATCTTATGCATACCTATTTAATAGAAGTCAACACACTATCAATAAACATTTGAACTATAACTTGTTCATTTTACTTTTTACTTAGCAACGTAATATAGATGACTAGGCATAAATATAAACTTACAGCTGCCTATGGAAAGAAAAAGCCCCATATTCTGACCAGACTCAGAATTGTTTTTAACTTTTTATTAACAACTTCTGATTATGCATAGAAATGAAAAGAAATTAGTGAAGTGATTTAAAAAATGATGGATACTCAACAACAGAAGAGTTTTATTTGGTTCTGAAATGTATTTGTACACTCATATTTAAATATGGGGACAGTTTATGTTCCGGCCATACACAACAATATAAGCCAGAGGCAGACATGTAAATTAAAGCAAAATTTTCCAGAAAGGGCCCCCTTACCCTTTAACTGCAAAACAAACAGATCTCCAGTCTCCCTGCAATGCAGGGCATACTTGGATGGTATTTACACCTATGAAGAGAGAAAAAAGGAGGCAGCTGGCAGGGGCTCTTGCTCTAACTAGAACTGCTTGTTCTGATTCTCTCTCCATTGCTTTTCCCATGTTTCCCTGACCAACAATATGGTTTACAACTCCCTGCAAACCAGAGTCCCTTAAGTGGCCAAGTACCTGATTTTTGGCAAGTAGCTATCTTCAGGTATAGAAGACAGGGCTAAATTGGGGATTACATGTCAATGCAATGGTTCAAAGATCTCCTATACTGCATAAAAACCCCTTAGTAAAATGAGAAAAACAGTGGCTATCAGTCAGCTATTCTGACCTCCTGCTAGGTTATTTTGGCTCTTCTTAACCATACAGAAGTTACTTTTGCAGAAGTCATGTTCAACTACAGTAAACATTAAAGAGAAGAGACCATTTGTTTGCTACATCATAATTTTCTTAAATAATGAAAGCTTTGCTCTCCATACCCAAGGGGACATTTGTAATGTACTTGTGTTTTGCTTTGGGTTAGAAAACTGAATGGATAAAGAATTGGATATAAATAAAAATGAGACAACAACTTGATAAATCCACTTTTCTCTCTGGTTATGTTCCTGAAACATGACAGCAAACAGAAAAACCTGCCATAATCATTTATTAATTCAAGGGTAAAGAAATATACAATATTTCGTCTCCTAAAACTAAAACTTCAGCATTGTTTCCTCACACCCTTCAAATACGTTTCAGGTGAGACACTGTTTTTATTAGGATTCTCTATTCCATGACTTCAAAGTTTTTTGAGTTGGTAACTATTCTCACCTCTCTTTACAGGTCCTAAACTTGCCCTCTTTTCTCTGTTTAAAGTACAATATAAATGAGTTTTAGGAAACAACTTTCATGACATCCTGACTTAACTATGATTTTGAAGTGCTTAAAACCATGTATCAGAAATCATTACTCAATTCCTAAATGTGATTCTGTATCTTACTTTCAAAAAAACAAACTTAAAAAAACAAAATAAAAAAATTCTTTCATGACCAGCAAATTCCATACCTATTACATTTACAATGGCCTTCAATGCTCCAAGAATGCTGCCCAATACTTCAGGGTACTCTTCACCCAAATACTCATACAAAACAACACCCAAGTGCCCCATCAATTTTTCCTGTAAAAATTAAAAAAAAAAAAAAAGTTAAAATGTTATTATTCACATGGAACTATTTGGTGGGAAAATAAGAATCTGATAGAAAAGTTTACCTCTTGACAAGTCTTCATGACAACAGCAGTTCGAGAAATCAAGTCAGCTGCCTGTTGCCTAACTTTTGCTGATTTGTTATTTAAACGCCACAAAACTGTACCACAGATCTGAGGCAAGTAAGGTTTGACTCGTTTGCCAAGAGCATTGACCACTGTGCCAAAGCCATTCAACATTACAGAGTCCTAAAAAAAGAAAAGCAATGTTAAATTTAAAAACTACATTCATTGAGACTACAATTCAGTTTGTGCCCGAATAGTTTAAATATACTAATATTCAGAGGTGCCTGGGTGGCTCAGTCGGTTCAGCGTCCGACTTCAGTTCAGGTCGTGACCTCATGGTTCGTGGGATCAGGCCCTGTGTTGGGCTCTGTGCTGATAACTCAAAGCCTGGAGCCTGCTTCAGATTCTGTGTCTCCCTCTCTCTCTGCCCCTTCTCTACTTGTACTTTCTCTCTCTCTCTCTCTCAAAAAAACAAAACATTAAAACAAATTTTAAATATACTAAGATTAATTTAACAAAATCAAATCTAAAAAATTTAAATCATAGACAACTGAAATGAGAACATGAGCATTTTTAAAATTTCAAATTCAATTACTTTTCAGTGATAATTATTTGGTTGAAAAGTAATGTGTTTTACAAATATAAAGGTCAGCAGCAATTTGTTGTAATAATCTGTATCATTACCTCTGTAGTCTGTTCTTGGAAAGCATAAAGAATACCATCAATCAACTGTTCTTCAAGTTTATGATCAATATCTGCTGCTCCCAAGTTGCCCATAATTTTCTCAATTGTCTCCATCACCATTTTTCTGTACTGTTCAGCTTCATCCTTCAGATCATCCACAATCCTGGAAATAATTTCTGCTGCACCTACTTTGTTTGCCAATTCCACAGTAGTATCAACTAACTAAAGACAGGAGGAAAGAAACCTTTTAGGTATTATCCAAGCCAGCAAGTAGGCTGAGAACAGTTAATTCCGGTTTCAAAAACTTTTAAGAGAAAGGTAACCCAAAAAACATAAATGTGAGAGTAAGTCAAAATGATTTAAGGTAAGACTGTACTCATGTTTCACCTAGCCCAGATTAAGTATTTCTTTTAACTAGACAAAGACATTAATTCATAGTTGAGCATTTATCCTAGAATGCAAAATCAAAATGGAAGTTAATTAGCTGACTAAATACATCTCCTTTTATAATCAAGCACATATTTTGAGACCAGGGCAAAAACAATGTTTAATATTCATTCAAATTAACTAAAGAATTAGTTGAAAACATTATTTAAAAATATTTTCTTCAGTAGGTTCCATGACCAATATGAAGCTTCAACTCACAACCCTGAGATCAAGAGTCATATGCTCTACCAACTGAGCCAGCCAGGCACCCTTTGAAAATATGTTTTACAGGGGGCCTGAGTGGCTCAGTTAAGTGTCTGACTCTTGATTTTGGCTCAGGTCATGACCTCACGTTCCTGAGATAGAGCCCCTTAAACCCCATGGTGGGCTCTGCGCTGGGTGTGGAACCTGCTTAAGTTTCTCTCTTCCTTTTCCTCTGCCCCTCCCCAACTCTCAAAAAGTTGCTCACTCTCAAAAAAAAAAAAAAAAAAAAGATAAAATATTTTTTACAATGAAAGTTTACCTGTCGGTAATTTCTTCTATCCAAAGCCATTCTGTGTTGCCAGAAGTGTTTAAAAAAAGGAGGAAGAATCTCTGTTTTAATGTAGTTTGCTTCTACACCATCTGTTCCACAACACTGCTTTACCACCTAAAAGGTTAAAAAATAGTAGTAAATACAGTCTTGGTTTAACAATAGTTAAATAGTTTTGGGCTTTAACATTCTCTGAACCATGAAACACACCCAATTTAGGTGAACCAATCCGTGACAACAATCTGGAATACTTACCTTCAGCACAATTTTCTTCATTTCTTCATCAGGTGACTGAAATTCTCGAATAAGGATTAACATCACTTCTCTAGTATAGTAGTTGGCATATTCTGCATCCATAAGAGGAATAAGATAGCCAATAGCCTTTAAGAAAGCAGCCAGACCCTATTTTTAAGTAAAAAAAATACGTATACTTAGTAAGTTAGATTTAATTGCCTTAACTTCAATGAGTGGAAATGAAAAGAAAAATAAAATCTATCTGGTGAACCAAACCTACCTTTCCTCTGTGTTGACGGATACCCTTCCATAGAGGCTTTAACACAGAATCAAAAGATTCGATACCATAAGGAGTTGCTGCTTCAGCCAAGGCAGCAATGGCCAAAGCACTAATGGTCCGAACTTTCTGTTGCTCATCCACAAGACCTAGAAAAAACCAAACACAGTTTGTAACTAAGTGACAATATTACTTAATTTTCACAAGCTCATTATTTAGTCAAAATGAAGAATCTGTTCATACTAGACAAAATCAGACAAAAGCCAATATGAACCAAAGCCTATTAGCAGATAACGTAATAAACCCCATCACAAATTATGTGGGGTTTTTGTAGGTAGAACCCTTCCATTTATCTCTCCAAATCAGTAGCCCAAATTTCAGGACACCTATTTTACAAAAGATGAAGTAATGGGGCGCCTGGGTGGTTCAGTCGGTTAAGCATCTGACTTTGGCTCAGGTTATGACCTCACTGCTCATCTTGAGTTCAAGCCCTGCATCGGGCTCTATGCTGGCAGCTCAGAGTCTGGAACCTGTTTCAGATTCTGTCTCCGTCTCTCTGCCCCTCCCCTGCTCAAACTCAGTCTCTCTCTCAAATATAAACATTAAAAAAAAACTTTTTTAATAAGTAAAAATAATTTTTAAAGAGATGAAGTTATATCACAACTTACCATGCTCAATAATTTCAACTAAACTTCTGAGATGTGGCAAGATGGCACAGCCCATAAGAATAGCTATCTGCTGTACAATCTTAATACCAGTGTGTCTCGCTTGCCAGGACTTCTTACTTTTACACACAGCTTTTAAGAAGGGCAACAATGAAGGAATGCCCAGGGCAGAGGCTACAACAGCAAAAGCTCTAGCTGTTGTGTTACGAACATACTCATCCATGTTATCTATATCAGGTCTCATGGTAGAGATCATAGTAGCCAGACCAGCAGCCTAAAAAGTCAAGAAGGACACTCATCAGCTGATAACATTAACCCTCAACGCTTTCCTTCTATAATCAAATAATCCCATCAATGGATACAAAACTTTCTTCTCTAGAAATATAATGTAAATTACCTTTGCCAAATTAGAAATAATCTCTCGACCTTCCACTCTAGCATAGTAATCTTCATCAATTAGCAATGGTTCAATGACCACAAGGATCTGAAAAAGAAAAAGAGCTACACTTTCACACCAATTACTAATGCCATACTCGTGTAAGAAAATTAAATACATATTGAAAAAATTTTATTATAGGTCATTTATGTAATTTATACACACAAGCATACAAAACATATTTTGCTAGGAAATTTATAATTACCAGGACTTTGTAACAAGGGACAATTAAAAATTTTAATTACATAATTTCAAACCCCATATAAAAACTGGGGAGAACTGTTCATCACAGAGTAACAAATATTCAATATTTAAAAAAATAACAACTTCTGGAGCGCCTGGGTGGCTCAGTCAGTTAAGCATCCGACTTTGGCTCAGGTCATGATCTCATGTCTCGTGGGTTCAAGCCCCACATCGGGCTCTGTGCTGACAGCTCAGGGCCTGGAACCTGCTTCATATTCTGTGTCTCCCTCTCTCTTTGCCCTCCCCCACTTACTCTCTCTCTCTCTCTCTCTCAAAACCAAACATTAAAAAATTTGAAAAAAATTCATAAAAAAAAAAACTACACTGATCTTCACTTAACAATTCTAAGCCATTATTACCACCAGCAAAAAGATGGGTCCTTAACACCAAATGGCATGCTACAGACATGTATCTTTTCTTACCCTAACATAATACCAATAAAAGTAAATGAAAAAGTATGAATAATATGAAACCATTTTAGTCAAGATGACAAAAAGTTCCTTCAATATCTACACACATACATTTGTATACGTGTGATATATACTTGTGCAAAGAAAAAGGTCTAAGAGGACATATAAATATAATATTGGTTAACTCTGTGGAGTGTCTTACAGGGGGGTGAAATTTCCCTTTTTTGTTGTGAATGCATGCATCAGCTATTAACTTTTAAGAATTTTTTAAATTTCACAAATAATAAGTGACTTAAGAAATCCATTAATTGTTTTTATATTAAAAATTATCCAACTATTAGAAACACTAATTAGAACAACACACCTTGTGCACATATGGTCGAACTAAGTCATCAAGTTTGTATAATATTCGATCAATAACTTTCACAAGTAAATGACGCTCTTGATCCTCAAGTGTAGGAGACATCAGTAGAGGAAGAATCTGATTAAACAAAGGACCAGCTCCAAATTCACGAGCTTTATCAGTAATTTGACGCAATGCAGCCTGGGGGGAAAAAAAAAGAGTAGAAGGTATATTCCCTTATAATTAAGCATTCTGAAAGAACTAATTACTCCATGATTTTCTTTACCTTAATATTTTTAGTATAAACTTCACAGACATCTTACACATTAGCATAAGTGCATTCCCATCAAATTACTCTGAAGTTAGAGGGGCGTCTGAGTGGCTCAGTCACATCTGACTCTTGATTTTGCTTCAGGTCATGATCTCACAGTTTCTAAGATGGAGCCTGCTTGAAATTCTCTCTCCCTTTCTCTTTGCCCCTCCCTGGCTAGCGCTCTTGCAGATCCCTGCATCTCTCAAAATAAATAAACTTAAAAAAAAAATTTATAAAAAGGCCCGGAGAACAAAAAGGAGAATCTCATTTTTCAGCATCTGTATTAGCATAAAGCTGTTTGATTAAAAAAATTAGGGGCGCCTGGGTGGCGCAGTCGGTTAAGCGTCCGACTTCAGCCAGGTCACGATCTCGCGCTCCGTGAGTTCGAGCCCCGCGTCAGGCTCTGGGCTGATGGCTCAGAACCTGGAGCCTGTTTCCGATTCTGTGTCTCCCTCTCTCTCTGCCCCTCCCCCGTTCATGCTCTGTCTCTCTCTGTCCCAAAAATAAATAAACGTTGAAAAAAAAAAAAAATTAAAAAAAAAAAAAAAATTTAAATCCTTCATACTACACCTTTCTTTCCCTTACACTATGCCCATGGTAAAGATGAAGAGATTAATTATAAATTTCTAAACATAAAACTATAGTGAACATGACGATGTAATGAACTAGTACTTACCTTTCTCATTGGAGGTGTTCCATTCTTAATTTTTAAAAGAAGCTTCATTATTTTTCTCTCTTTTTGCTCTTCTGGACTAAGTGTTGATTCATCAACATCAACCTAACAGCAAAAAAAAAAAAGAAAATGCAGTTAGATTAAGATACTGTGATTTCTAAGTCCTAAATAAAAAATGGTATTTCAGTTCTGCTATTATCACTTACCAAAAGTTTATCAAAGTACTGAATATCATCAGGTTTTAAAAATGGCAGATTCCCAGATGGTTGGTCATTAACACTTTTCATTGTTCTATCTTCAGTTTGCATGTGGAAACCAGTCATACCACCCAAAGGCGTTGGAGTTGCTGTCAGCTTTCGAGCTGGAGTTCGAATAGGAACATAACCAGCTGGAGGGGGAAGTACCTAATACAGTTAAAAGACAGTTTAGGATTTTCTTGACTTTATAAAATAACACAATAATATTTGTATTTAAAATATCTTAACAGTTTATTAGCTAAGAAGCTTCCTGCTTGTTCTATCATTTAAAATCTGTATAACAGGGACATCTGGGTGGCTCAGTCGGTTAAGCATCCAACTTCAGTTCAGGTCACATGATCTCACAGTGCATGAGTTTGAGCACCGCATCAGGGTCTGTACTGACCAACTTAGAACCTGGAGCCTGCTTCAGATTCTGTGTCTCCCTCCCTCTTTACCCCTCCCCGCCTCATTCTTGTTCTTTCTCTCAAAAGGAATAAACATTAAAAATTTTTTTTTTAATCTGTATGACAAACATTTCTCATTTGCTGATTAAAAAGCACATTAAGAATATTAGTAATGTGGGGAAATGAGTAGATACATGAAGCAGGCTTATAAAATTCTGATCACTCTCAAACATTAATCTATATAAACATGTTGGTGAGCCGACATGTCATAAATGGAAATAAGTTCACAAAGTGCACATAATATATAAAGGGTTAATTTTAATAAAGTTAAAATTTAGATTCATACAAATCTCTGCACCGTAAAAGCAAGAATCTTAGTATTTAAGTTGCTTGACAAAATGTATAAAAACTAAATCTGGGGTGCCTGAGTAGCTCAGTCAGTTGAGCGTCTCCTGATTTCAACTCAGGTCATGATCTCGTCATGGGATCGAGCCCCGTGTTGGTCCACTCAGTGCAGAGCCTGCTTAAGAGTCTCTCTCTCCCTGTGCCCCTCTCCCCTGCTCGTGCTCTCTAAAATAAAAAAACCAAAAAACTAAAACCAAAATATTTACCAAGATCCTATAAAATACACCATTTGATTAAACCAAGAAATTCACTTAAGATTCACTAAGAAAGATTTTTATCTCCTATGGATATTAAGGTAATCAATGACTGTAACTGAGAAGACATTCAGGAAGTCAACAGTAAGTTGCAGAAATGTCTATACCCACAGCGTTATGTGGAGGCTACAACAAGTTTAAAGCAGAAATTCATGAACACTTGAAACACTCTAATACAAAACTAACAAGGGGGAAAAACATACATATACAAACTCTTAAAAGCAATGGGCACCAGCAATGTAAGGCTCTGTAGAGGCCATTGGAATCTAGTTCCAGCTATATGACCACAGACTACCTTTAGACCAGCAAATGGTCCCTGAATGCCAGGTACATTTTATAACTCAAACTAAACTTTAACTTGATACAGTAAAAACAATATTCTTTGTGTTCATTTGCAATCCATGAATTTAAATACACAAAATCTTGTGAAACACAAAGTAAAATAACCATGATCTAATGTGAGCTTAATCCTGAGACTATGATGAACTGAAGCAACAAGCTATTCCATATCCCAAAGGCAGCAAGTTCTCAAAGTATGGTCCTAGAAGTCCTTGAAATTTCTCACTTTCCAAAAGCAATAAAAGCTTTGTATCATTCAGTTTTTCAACTCTATTACTTTTCGGAAATAGCTAAAAGAATTAACAGTAGTAAATCTGGGCAAAGCCAATGTAAACCTGACCAATTAATTTTTTCAAAGAACACTTAAAGAAAATTCACATTATAAATACCACATTACCTTATATCCTTCTGGAAACATGGCATCTAATTCTTCATCAGAAAGTGGACGGTTTCTCTCATCAATTTCTCTTTCCCACCTCCAAGCTTGAAGCTGTTCGGGAGTCATACTCATTATGTGACCTACCAAAAAAAGCAAATTTCTGTAACAATCTATAGCGTTAAGTCTTTATCATTACATAGGTCCTTGGGATATAAGACAGTTAACCTCATAATTGCTTTATATTATCAACTCAAATCAAGACTTCTTTTTATATCTGGTCATTCTTGCTAAAAATAAACATTAATAACATACAGAATACCTCAGAGAAAAACATTCAAAATATTTCCGGTAAAAAGTATTTCCAATGGGAAAGTTTCTACCTGGAGTAGGGGTAGCCATGTTCATGGCTGGTGTGCCAATTGGTGTCTTTCCAGGTGTCAGAACAGGAGTGCTTCCACCCATCTGACTAGCTGGTGTTTCATCCCAACGTGACTTTCTTTTACTGGCTCCAGGAGTTGGTGTTTCACCAATTGAATCTCCACCTCGATCTGTTCGAGGAGTCTCAGCCCATCCGCTTCCATGCCCAGGAGTATCTTTAAAGAAAAAAAGTAAATAAATATAAAATTTTAACCACTGTCAAAAAATTAGTGTATTCTCAAAGATCTAATATTGAAATGGATCAAGTTCAAAAAAAGGATATTCTTAAAATGCAGACCCACTTAAGAGTTTTAATTTTCATTTCGTCTTTATTCTCTTTCATTTTTTCTTTCCCAATGATTACAAAAGCATAGTAACCACTGAGGAGTAAGAAAACAAAAGTATTTTTTTAACCATGCATACTATCACAACCCAGAGACAACCACTTTATGCATCTTGAGCCACTTTTCATTTCTCCATACGGTTGATATTACTCTGTACATACAATTCTATACTGCTTCTTTCATCTACTATATGTTAAGCACTCTCCCCATCACTAAAAATTCTTTATAAAAATATAGCAGATGTACTATGAAGTCTTAACCTGCCACGGCTAATCTTATAAAGAACTAACAAGACACATGGAAATGCAAACTGGTGTAGCCACTCTGGAAAACAGTATGGAGGTTCCTCAAAAAACTAAAAATAGTACTCTATGACCCAGCAATTGCACTACTAGGTATTCATCCAAGGGACACAGGAGTGCTGTTTTGAAGGGTCATTGCACCCCAACGTTTATAGCAGCGCTATTGACAACAGCCAAAGTACAGAAAGCCCAAGTGTCCATCGATGGATGAATGGATAAAGATGTGATGTGTGTGTGTGTGTGTCTATACACACACACACACACACACACACACACACACACACACACACACACAC